TGGTAGCCCAGGCTGGCCTCGAACTCACAGAGATCCGCCTGGCTCTGCCTCCCGAGTGCTGGGATTAAAGGCGTGCACCACCACCGCCCGGCTTGTTTATAAATAATTTGTTTATAAACTACTTATTTATAAGCACACATGCACACGCACATGCACATGCACCACAGTGCTTATGTGGAAGTCTGAAGACAACTCCTGGGAGCCAGCTCTCTCCTTCTATCGTGTGGATTCCAGGGATCAAATATAGGTCATCAGGCATAGCAGGAAGAGCGCCCTCTGCAACTGCCCCATCTCCCAGAGTCATCTCACCGGGTGCTTTTATTTATTTATTTATTTATTTATTTATTTATTTATTTATTTATTTACTTATTTACTGTGGGGCATTTACCCACCACCCCCACAGCTTCCCAGAGTTTTCTTGAGTGCGAGAAGCAGGAAACATTAGATAGAAGGATTTATAGCGGAGATAAACAGATAGAAAATAAAGGATAGCCTCGAGAGGGCCTGGAACCTATTCCAACGGGCCCCGACTGTCTCTCGTCCAGGGTTTTTATAGAGACGCCAAGGGGTGGAGCAAAAGACCTCCTCCCCCAGCACAGCCAAGTGCAGGCCATCTCAGACACCTGCACTCAGGCCCGTGGTCCTGATCATCCTCTATTCGGACCTGCTGGGTAAAGCCACGAGGAACCCCAGAACGGGCTCCCACAATTTACTTATTTATTTTTGGTTTTTTGAGACAGGGCTTCTCTGTGTAGTTTTGGTGCCTGTCCTAGATCTTGCTCTGTAGACCAGGCTGGCCTCGAACTCACACTGGATGCTTTTAAAGTCATCTCCTCAGTGCTTTTAAACAGGCAGATGGTGTGCCTAGAGCTTGCTTGCTTATTTATTTATTCATTCATTCATTCATTTGTTTATTTGTTTGTTTTTGTGGTGCTGAAGATCGAACCCAGGGCCTTCCCATGCTAGGCGGGTGATCTACCTCTTAGCTTTTCCCCAACCACCATGTTCTGGCTGTGTGTAGAGAATATTTAGGAGGAGTGAGGGACAGGCAGAGCAGCCAGGTAAGGTGGCTACCATCTCCATTCAGGCAGGAGGAGTAAGAGAACTGGAGATTTAGCAAGAAAAGGTAAGAACTCATCCCACTCCCCAGGATCTTCTCAATGGCCTCCCACACCTCCCTTCCTCCTGATACTACAAACAACCTGGAAGCAAAAGTCTGGCCCCAGGGTTTGTGCAGGGTAGGAACTAATGCCTAGGGTGTCTGCCCCTGAATGCCAGCAGGGGAGGGGATGCATGATCCCACCCATGATCCAGAGTCACGTGGCTGGAACAACCACTGGCCACAGACCTGGCCCTGAAACAGACTCAGACACAGGGCGCTTGTCCTGCTGTGGCTCGGAGCTCAGGGTGTGACCCTAGGCAAGGGTACAAAGGAGCCTCTGTCAGTGTGGGGCACTGTGCCCACCTGGAGCAAGCCAGGCGCCCAAGGAGTGAGGAAGTGGCCTGAGAGTACAGGGAGAAACCTGGAGGTGACACACACCTGAGGTTTGAGTGTCATGGGGCTAAGTCACTTCCTCACCTGTAAGATGGGGATCTAGACTCCAGCTTCCCAGACCTGGCACGAGGTCGGCACTGCTCGTTGCCCGGCTGAGTGCTCGTTAAGTATCACTTAGCATATACACATAACATTATCGTATGCACATTTGCTAAGCACCTTACAGATATTGACTCATTGGATCCCTGTAAAGACCCACTAAGTGGGTACTATTAGTATTTATCCTTATATTACACATAGGGGAAACTGAGGCTCAAAGGCAAGATTTGAACCCAGGTCCTATAGCTACACACTCTTGCTTCTGTTAAAAGCGAGGAAGGCATTCCTTAGGCCAGGTGCCTCAATAGATGTGTGGGTCCTTCAAAGGGAGGATGTTTCCCAGACCACGTGTACCTTAGTGACTATAACTACACATTGTCCCCACGCCAAGGGACAGGAAGAGGACGGAAGTCACACTTCTTGGGAGCAGTAGAAATCAAGAGTAGGACAGATCGGGAGTCAAGAGGAACCCTGTTGCAACTCTGCTGCCCAGGGCCCAGCTGCGGAAGCTGCTGTCCCGGGCACAAGCTGATCTAGACTGTATTCCTTCAACAAGGTTGAGTTATACCCTGAGGGGTGCCCAGCTGGGGCCATGTGCTGGGAACAAGCTGACCCCATTCCCTAGAGGCCAATGTCCATTGGAACACAAAGCATGGTGTGGGGGCCGCAGCCCAGGCCTGAAGGTGGAGGACAGCCTGGGAGTGTGGTTAGCAGATCTTCCCGGGCTGAGCTGGCAGCCGGGTGGGATGGGTGCTGGGGGGATGGGTAACATGAAAAGTAACAAGCAGCGTCAGTGGGGCGGGTGGATGAGGACTCCAAAAGCCAAGCCTGGGGCTCAGACAGCTTTTCCTACCAGCATCTCTGTTCAGCTGCTCCTCAGAACCACCCAGATACAGTTGAAAAAGCAGCCACAGAGAGGTCTGGTGGCACAGGACTGGAATCCCAGCACTCGGGAGGCGGAGGCTGGGGAATCTAGAGTTTGAGACCCTGAACTACATGTTCAGATCCTGTCTGAAAAAAAAACCTCCCAAAACAAAACAAACAAACAAACAAACAAAATAGAGTGTCTTAGTTAGGGTTTCTATTGCTGTGGCGAAACACCATAACCAAAAAGCAAGTTTGGGAGAAAAGGGTTTATTTTTGTAAAGGCTTACACTTCCACATTGCTGTTCATCACTGAAGAAAGTCAGGACAGGAACTCAAATAGGGCAGGATCATGGAGGCAGGAACTGATGCAGAGGCCAGGGGCGGGTACTGCTTACTAGCTCAGCCTGCTTTCTTATAGAATCCAGGACCACCAGCCCAGGGATGGCACCACCCACCATGGGCTGGGCCCTCTCATGTTGATCACTAATTGAGAAAATGCCTGCCCCTGGATCTCATGGAGGCATTTCCTCAACTGAGGCTCCTTCCTCTCTGATGACTCTAGCTTATGCCAAGTTGACACACAAAACCAATCAATACATAGAGCATCTGGGCATCGGGAGGTGGATCAGAAATTCACAGTCATCCTTGGTTACATAGTGAGTTCAAAGTCAGCTTGGGCCACATGACACCCTGTCTCAAAAAGGGAGAGGGGAGGGGCTGGAGAGATGACTCAGCAATTAGGAGCACTTGCTGCTCTTCCAGAGGGTTGGTTCCCAGCACCCACATCAGAGGCCTCACAATTGCCTGCTACACCAGTTTCAAGGAGCCAACACCCTCTGGCCTCCTCACTGGTGCACATAAACTCACACAAGTACGCACACATACTAGTAAATAAAAAGCAAAATAGTTTAGCCCTGTTCTATTGCTGTGAAGAGACACCATGACCAGGGCAACTCTTGTAAAGGAAAGCATTTAATTGGGGCTGACTTACAGTTTCAGAGGCTTAGTCCATTGCTATCATCATGGCAGGTGGCATGGCAGCAGAAATGCCAGGCTTGGTGCAGGAGACGTCGCTGAGAGCTACATCCTGATCCACAGGCAAAGAGAGAGACTGAATCTGACACAGGCTTTTGAAACCTCAAAGCCCACCCCCAATGACACACTTCCTCCAACAAGGCCACACCTCCTATCCTTCTAACCCTATCAAAGAGTTCCACTCTGTGACTAAGCTTTCAACTATATGAGCCTATGGGGGGGGGGGCATTCTTATTCAAACTACCATGCAAAGAAATCTTAACAGCAACAACAAAACTCTTTACCCCAGGTCCCGGAGTCTAAGCCTGAGGGTTAGGAGCTGGAGGAGGACCCTGCCAAACTTCCCAGGAGATACTTCCAAGGCCAGGTATGCCTTTGGAAGGCTGGTGGACACAAGAGTCTAGCCCTTAGGTACACATTAGAATCACCTGGGCAGAAGATCAAAGTTCTCAGGCCACAGCACAAGGCAAGCTCATCAGAGCCCAAGGGCCTTGGGCATTAGAAGTTCTCAGAGTTATTGGTAGTTCTGGTTTTGGTTCAGGTGAGTAAGTACACAGAGGGACCTCTCCAGTGTGCCTGTCCCACTTGTTGGACAGATCTGGGCTGGGAGAAATGATTCTTATATTTCCTCTTAATTGATCCAGGGATCCCAGGAGGTATATTTGACCAAGCATAGAGGCGAGGCATTCCACACCCAGGCTGTGTCCTGGGCCCTTTATAGCTGAGGCCTTTGGGTAGCTCAGCTAGGGGAAACCTCCGGGGACTGAAAGAGGGGATGGGGCCCAAAAATATAGTGACACATTCTGTATCAGTAGGGTGTTTCCTGGAACCATGGAGGCGTACACTTTCAATCCTAGCCTGTTCAAGGCCAGCCTGATCTACATAGCCAGTTCTAAGACAGATAGGGCTACATAATATGACCCTGTTTCAGAAGAAAGAAAGAGAAGGAAGAAAGACAGACTCTTGGTGGTCTGTGCCACAGGTCACCAGAGAAGGATGCATGGATGTGGTCACCTGCTCCCTGGTTGACCAGATGGGGCTCTGGCCACCCCATACCACTGGCTCTTTCAGCCAATGGGCTTGGAGAGCCACCCTTCCTCCAAGCCTCAGGTTCAACTTCAGCTCCCTCTCTTCCATCCTGAGTTTGGATGGATTAGGTTGTGTCTCACAACAAGGACCAACTATGGGTTCATGGAGTGGACTTAGAGGGAGGATTCTGCTCAGCCGACTCATTAAATAAAAGGTACAGGAAATGAAGGGTGGGTCAGGAGCCTCGAGATCTTAATTTCCGTAGGGTTGGCCCTGGCTTATAGTCAGGGTTCCTGTGGGCATCTTCTGAATGCCTCTCTTGAAGTAAGAGGAAGGGAGCCAAGGTTGTCCCAGGGGGACCCCAACCCTTGGTCTTTACAGTCCCTTCCAGGTAGTAACTCCCGTGAAGTCCTCCAGTGGGCTGATTACCTGCTAGACTGCTGTGAGTGATGCTCATATGGGGAGGGGGCTGCCCCTGCTGGTTGGTGGTTTTCCAAACTCTCCAGCCTCTTTTTCTCTTGCTCTGGCCTCTCTACACACCCCCAGACAGCTCTGCCAAGCTGGGTGAGGAGGTCAAAATAATTTCCTTTGCTTTGACATTAACCTCAAGTAGGAATTGACTCTGGTCTGGGAAAGACTGAGGATAGGCTGACAGCTTTGAGGTGCAAGATGAGGGACAAGTGGGGGAGGGGCTCAGCCTAGACGTGAGTCTTGGGAGACTTGGGAGAGGGCACCCCGAGGCTTTTCAGCATTCGACCTAGGCTTGTTTGTCTCCTTACCACTTTTGAGACATTGGTTTCTAAAGCGCAGCTATGAGGAAGTTCTTTCTGAGGTCTAATCCTGGTTGCTTCTGCTGTAACTAAGGATTTTGTCCTCCTGGTGGGTGGGACTTTACAGTTTGCAGAGTGCTTGGTGTTGTTATCCCCATTGCAGAGAAGGCTAATAAGTGACCAAGTGGTAACACAAACGTATCTGCCTGATTCAGTCACACATATCCTCACGTGAGTCCCTCAGATCACACCCAGAGACACACCCCTCTGCACGTGTACCCCCCCCCCATCTCATCAACTCCAAAGTGCTTAGTCCTAGAGAAGTCATCCTGTCCATCCCCCTGCCTCTATCCCTGCCCGGGGAAGTGTATATGCAGCTCCTGTGGCCAAGGCCCGGGAGAAGGGGGTGGTAGACTTGGGAAGTCAGGGTTCCAGCTGCTCTGCTCCTTCGTGGGCAAAGCCTTTGAACATATAATGTGATAATCTCTGCCTGCTTGCTGCACACCAAGGGCCTCCCTGGGTTCATCCAAGAATCCATTAGGGACCTCACAGGAGGAACAAGCTCAGTGTCTGTACTGGGCAATCTGCCTCCTTGCCCCTCTGCATGCTGGGAAGGATCTGTTTGTTCTTTAGCTGCAAGACACAATTACCAGACACTGCTGGAAATGAGTCAGGCTTCCCGATTTGAGACCCGAATGGGGTGGGATGGGGGCTGGGCTTCTCTTCTATACTGAGCTATAGAAGGTTCCAGATTGGTGCTGCTGGCTCACCTGGCTGGGAGGCTGATGGGAGAGCCTAGAAACAACCTAGTCGGTGACTTACAGGCCGTTCTGTTGCCCCATCCCGATGTCCTGGCTGGGAAACTGAGGACAGCTGTTGTCCCCACGGCATCCCCGCTCAGAAGCCACCCAATTAGCACTCTGTCTGACTCTGTGTTCCCAGCGCCTGTCTCATTATTTGGGGATTTATGATTGTCCCGGTCACTGTGAAGGACAACTGTCCGGGTTTCCATCGGGGAGGGGAGAGGGGAGCCCAGCCAGCGCTCAGCCCAGCGGTGGCAGGAGGTGGTGCCATCCTGCTTGGGGCAGGATGGGGATTTGATTTCAGGGGGATTTGCGGCTAGTGGGGAGCCGCCCTGGCCACATGGTGGCTCAGAGCTATTTTAAGAGGAGGTGGGGGGGGAGGGGCTGGTGGCTTTGTCCCTCCTGTAGGAGCATAAAGAACCCAGGATGGATAGGGTAGGATGCAGACCCCAGATGGGGTTCCGTCCCACTTTCCCTCTGGAACCCATGGGTCCAGAACTATGGCAGTATAATCTGACCCCATGTGGGCAATGGGCAAGATGGAGAAGCAGCTGGGGAGGGATGGGGCTCCTGGCCTGAGCCCCATGGCAAGGGCCTTACTCCCACCAGAGTTCTTGCTATTATTATAATGGGTAATTATTATTATAGTGGGTAATTAGCATAATAACAGTTGCATATATTTATAGCCAAGATTACATTTATTGAGGGGCTTGAGATGTAGCTGAGTTGGTAGAGAGCCTGCCGAGCATACGTTCACAAAGCTCTGAGTTCAATCTCCAAAAGGAATATAACTGGGCATGGTCGTAATGCCTGTAGTCCCAGCCCCCGGGAAGTAGAGGCAGGAGGATCAGAAACTCAAGGTCACCCTCTCCTGTAAAGTGAGCTTAGGGGCCAGCCTGAGCTGCAAGAGACCCTGACTCAAAAGAAAGAAAAACAAGAAATTACATTTATTGAGCTCTCTGGGAAGGTCCCTGGGAGGGACAACAGGGGCAGCCTTGACGCTAGGTTCTCCAGTGCCCCTGTTCTCCAGGGCCACTTCCAAGTTGGGTAATAGCATACACCCCTCCAACCTCAGCATTCCCATCTCCAAGGCAGGCACCAGGCATGCCTAACTGGTGGTGCCCATGCTGTTAACTGAGCATCTGCTTTATCGGGAACTCTGTAAAGATGACCTCACAACACCTAACGCCGTGATGTATTGTTCACTGCCATGTTTTACAAGCTCAGAGAGGGGAGGTGATTTGCCCAAGCTCACACAGCCAGAGCACGGTACCTAGTCTGTTCTTCTCAAGCCCGCTGTGAGTCATTCTATTCACTGGGCAAATCTAGCAGTGTGTGTGCTGACTGGTGCCTGGGGGTTCGTGCACAGACACAGCGAGAGGAAGAGGACATGGGATGAAACCGGCAGGGGTGAGTCCCAGGATGGCCGACCTGGAGGCTTGGTGGCTTTATTTAGACCATGGGTCATTCTTTTCTGGCTGGAGGAGAACAAGGGGCACTGGAGCCCTCCCTGGGCAAGTGGAAGATGAGCAGGGGAGAGCCCGTGCCAGCCGGTGCCGTAATTACACAGGGGGCTGCCTTTTCTTCCCTCCTTACCGTACCCATTTGGTTTTGGTTTTAATGTAGTCCAGGCTAGACTAAAACTGGCTATGTAACCTAGGCTGGCTTCAGACTCATGATCCTCCTTCCTCAGCCTCCAGAGTGCATGTTCTCAGACATGCCACCATCATGCCTGGCCCCATCCCACCTTCATAGGGCAAAGGTCACCCAGCACACTGGAATAGGCCCTTAGAAGCACCTTAGCATAGAGGAAAGAAATAGCCTAGACTCTGGAGCCAGCCAGATGGCGTTCAGACCCCAACTCTATTGCTCTTTTGCTGTGTGACCTGGGACAGGTAAGTTAACCTCTCAGTGCCCCTCCATCCTTCCCTGCAGAATGAGAGTCTCACTGATCTTTAGGGGGATCATCAGAGCCAATGGGTCCCTAAAGCTGTGGGAAGGGTCTGGAAGACAAGGCCAGCTACAGAGGACAATATTTTGTCAATGTACGGGGTTGCTTCTAGGGATGTATTTTATTACTGTGTATCTAGGTGAAGCCACGTCTTTGCGGTGGCCCCGAGCTGGCACCTGTGGCCCTGCTGAGTGATGCCCCTGAGCTGGCAGATGGGAGGGCCAACAGCATAAACATGCGGTGTGCTGTTCATCTATCCAGAAAGTACTTGTGAACTGTGCCGTAGCTCGGCCGTGGTGTGCTTGCCAAGCATGCGTGAAGCTGTGGGTTTGAGGCCAAGCACCTCAAAAATAAAAAAGAGGGAGTCACTCACTAGGGAGCGAAACATGGAGACTGAACTCACCCACAGCTACATGCCACCGAAGCAGGTCTGGGGATTTCACGGACCGACCCTCAGCTCTGTCTAGACTGCAGGAGAGTAAAGGGGTGGTGTCTTTAATAGAGGACGGGTTGAGGCAGCAGGAGGAGACGGGTTCATTGTTGTGTCCTAAAGAGGAAAAGCCCAAGTCAGTTGGGGGGAGATGGAGCTGGGATGATGGGTCAGGTACTAGGCAGGGCATAAAGCCTCAGAATTACATTGACTGAGGAGAGAGGGCTCCAAGTGGTGGGAAGCCAGTGTGAGGTTTCAGAAGGCAAGAATACAGTGTGATGGGTTCAGTGTGCTCTGGGAGTCACATCTTTGAGGGCTTCCTGGAGGAGGAGGCCATATCCAGCGCAGCATATGGAGGAATATGGTTTTAAGCTGGTTGAGGAGACCTCTATGGACGAGGCTTCAGCCAGATCTCTCTATGTAAAGCAGAGTGGCTTGTTCTGTGTCACATGGAACAGATGGAGGACCAGGATGTGGGTGTCACTGGCAAAAGGCTGTCTCCCCCAGAGATGAACTAGTCAGCAATGGAATGGGGACATTCTGTGGGGTCCTGGGGTCTCTGTCATGGGCATGTCCAAGCTTAGGGCAGAGGGTAACCGGTCAGGGATAGTGTAAAAGAGACAGAGTGACCTCTAAGGTCCCTTCCAAGTCCGAGCAACTGCCTTCACCACTGACAGACGTGGGGTGTGGACTGTGGGAAGGCAGAGTGACTGGGTCTGGAGAGAGGATGAGTGTCCTGTGGGGTGGCACGTATACAGGGTGGATCGTAGCTGCCGTCCCTTTCCTGGATTTACTTTTTAAAAAACGGGCAACTGTCTTATTGAGATGTAATCCATGTACCATACGATCCGCCTGTCTAAAGTGTACGGACTTCCAAGTGGCTACGAATTTGTCCCTTCACAACTCTCTATGGAGAATCTCCTAAGCGTTCATCAAGCTCTGCGTTGGTGTCTTGAATACCTGGGAAATAAAGGTCCTGCCTCTGTGGGGAAGACAGGTAAGTGTTCAATCCAAAGAACAGTCACCTGGGAGACGCAGGAGATGATGGTTGGGACAGAGCTGGGAAAGGGGGTGTGGGAAGTGACATTTGAGCCGAGGAGACCAGTGACAAGTAGATAGTGAGGTCAAGGGAATATTCCAGGCTAATGAACAGCAAAGACCCTGGGGCTGGAGTCAGTGGGTAGATTTGAAGGCCAAGACCGGCCAGGAGCCTGGGTGGCCGTCCAGTGCCCTGTCTGGTGGGCCAGGCATCCCCAAGGTTCTATGGTGCTTTCTCTTTAGGTGGTCTGTCGCTTAAGGTTCCCCTCAGGTCAAGAAGGGGTAGGCAGCATGCAAAAGCCACCTGTGACCCTTTTCTATGGCTTCTGCTTTCTTACCTGGTGATTGCTTCTCCAACGCTTAGTGCCAGGGCTAAGGGGAGGTCATGACACCAGCCCCTACCTCCACAGATCCTCTCTCTGGCTGTAGCGTCCCCGGCAGTCTCCCCTCCTGCCCCTCACCTCTGGACAGTCTTGGGCCAGTCTGAAGGTTTTGGTGCTCACTTCCTGAGTGACTTTGGACCCGGATCTTTTCCTGCTCTGTAAAGTAAGGACTGAGCCAGTCTGGGCAGAGTGGATGTCTCCTGGCATCTAGGAGTGTGCCTTGAACCGCAGTGTCTGTCACGTCCCAAATAAAAAGGTCCAGGAGGAAGGTGGGTCCGCTGCGCTGGACCAGCTCTTCAGCCAGGAGCCCCTCTCTGCCCCTCTCTGCGGGGTTTTCCAGAGCGGGGCTGGGGAGGGCTCCTGGCAACTACTCGGACACGGGCCATGCAGGGGCGGGCTCGGAGGAGGCGCGGGACAGGGACTGGCCGGCTGTAACTGAGATCACAATCGCCCTGGTGCCGCTCAGCGGGGTGCGTCCCTGGCCCTGTTCAGGTAGGCGGGGGCGCCAGACTCCCGGTTCCCTGCGCGGACTGACTGAGGCGAGGTGGGGGGTGGGGGAGGGAGGGGCAAGCTCAGCAGGGCGGCTTGGTGAGGTCGGGGGGTGGGGGGGCAGTAGTGAGGTCCCTGCCGCGCCTTGTGACCTAGGGATATTCAACTTAACCTGAAGTTGAGGTTGGGAAGGAGACAGCCTGGGTGATGATCGCGGGGAGGACCTATAGCTGTAGGTGATGGCCAGGGAGGCTGGGATCATTTGGCAGCTAGAGATTTGCCTTTGGGAACAAGGGCTCCACCAAACGGCCTGTTTCTTTTCCTCAGGCGTTCAGAGGATCCCAAAGTCCAGCTAGCCCATCAGCTGCCAGGTGGGCTCTAAAATGGGGGGGTCCCGAGTTTTTGTTTTTTTTTTTTGAGGGTGCAAGGGGCACTTCTACCACCTGCCCCTACCCATGACCTTCTCAGGCATCCATGGCTTTTTGTCCTGTCTCCTCCTCCAAGCCCAGGGGCTCATTTCAACAAAGAGGGGGTCCTCCTCGTTTCATCCACCCCCACTCCTCCTCTGAAGCCATCCCTGGATCCCCCAGACCTCCCTCCTGACTCCCAGGACCGTCCGACTTTGGGAGTGTTGATTGGTGGTGCTGTGGTGGGCAGAGGGTGGGTTTTGGGGTGCTATACTTTTTGACACTTTAAAGAGTATGGCTAGGAGAAGTAGGATCAGTGCAAGCTCTGCCAGGGATGCAGGCCCAGGGATGCCTGGGAGAGAGCATAGGGCATAGCACACCTACTCCCACAAGTTAGGTTTCACAGGCTTTTCCAGGCAGCAGAGGGAAGAGAGAGCGGCACTGAGTCCGCTAGCCCTCCCTTCCCCTACCTGAGCGGTAGTTACTCTGAACTGCTATTGAGGACCATGTAAGGAAAGATGCGGGTTAGATAGTAAGAAGGACTTCCTTACTTCTTAAGAATGGGTTGTGGGTCTTTTAGAGGAGTCTTAAGGCTCAGGAGAAGAAGCCCCTTCTTCTTTGGGGCTTTCGGGAAGAAGGGGGTGTCCCCTGGAGCACCTAGACGACACCAAGGAGTGGGGACAGGGCAGGGCACAGGGAGAGAAAGGCTGGGATCTTATCCGAACCATCACACGCCCTCACCTCCTCTGCCCTCTTACCCTACCTTGGAGCTGGATGGGAAGCTGACTTTCCAAAACTCTTGGCCAGCTCACTCCCAATCCTAAGCACTCAGAAGTCTCCAGGGAGGAAACAGGTTTCTGTTGTCACTACTTGAGAAAGGAGACAGACATGGCTGTTTGGCGCTTGTCCCGTGGAACTTCAGGCCTGGCCTCTGCTTCCTGGGCCCAACCCCAAGCATCTTGTATGGGACTGGGGGGCCAGCAGGGCTGGCCTTGTTCAGAGCACCCAACTCGGTCCTCTAGGTGGGGGCTTCTGGCTCCTGTGGGGTCTGAGTCATGAGACGACCCTCTACCCTACATGCTATGGCCTCTGGTCCCTTCCCATCCCTTCCTCTGCATGGGCTGACAAAGGACCTCACAGGAGAACGGTAGCTGAGAACCCCACTGAAGCCCAGGGTTCTGAAATGCATTTATCATCCATCCAGCGTGGTGGAGAGGGGACCTGGGGAGCTGCGCCCCCTCCATCCCACCCCTAAGCTCCCTGTGAACAGTACAGGCTGGACAGAAGCCTCCACAGGCACCCTGAGTCCCAGCCAGCGTGGCTAGGCACCATCAATTGCATGTACTCCAGGACTGTTTTCTCTGCTCACCCTGGGAGACGGGAGGAGGCAGGCGGCTGGCTGAGATGGCAGAGAAGCCACCAAGCTTGGTGGCAGTTCCTCCAGCTCACCGAAGGGCCTCTGGCTCCACGAGGACAGGAGCACGAGGAGGCTTCTCCTCTTCTAGAATCTTCCTTGCGTAACTGGGTCCATGGTAGGGTGGCCCTCCTCCCACTCTGCTCATAGCCAGGAGAGTGACTGAGATGGTCTGCTTGGGCCCTCACCCTGACTCCGTAGGACAGTTTGGGATGTGTATGGGGGAGGGGGACCTGGCCCAGTTCACTTGCCTCTTCCACTCTGAACCCGCAGAACCTCCGGAGTGTCCTGAGGTGTGGGGGTGTGGGGGGGTTTCTACAGTGCCTCGCGGTGCTGGGCACTCACCCACCGGGCAGCAGCTCCTTTTTATGCAACGAAGACAGGGTCACAGAGCCCGGCCTGGCCGCCCCCAGCACACAGCTGCTCTCTCTGATTTACCACTGTGGCTCTGTCTGTAAAGGTCCCAAGAGATCATGTTCAACCTAAGTCCTCTCTCCTTAAAGACCAGGAAACCAAAGCCCAGATAGGCAGGGACCAGCTGAGATTGGCCCGCTAGCCAGGCCCCCTTCTCAGGGCCAGGGCCTGGGGCCTGGCTGGAAGAGATACAAGGTGGCTGTTGGCAGACCTGGGGGAAATGCCAGAGTGTAATTGGGCTCATTAAGTGTTTGCTGAGGGAGTCTCCATGCCGGGCTGAAGTTGGGAACAGGCCTAGAAATTTCTCCTCCAGTTACCCCTTTGGAAGAGGACATCTTCCCTGGCCTTCTGGGAGACAACCCTCTCCTCTGTGTGTTCTCTGGCCTTTCACCCCTGACCCTCTCACCCTCTGCATAGGCAAGCAGAGGATCTCACTGGCGAGCAGTAGCCGAGGAATCCACTAGAAGCCAGGGGTTCTGAAAGGCATTCGTTATCCATCCAGAGCTGTGGAGAGGGGACCCTGGGGGTTGTGTCTGAGTGCTCCCCCCCCACCAGCTCCATGTGGACAGATATAGCTCTTTCATAGGCTGCCCCCCCCCCATCATACTCACAGCCCTTCTCTCTGCTTCAGCCTTGGGCCCTCTCTCAGGGAAGGTGGGGAGAGGGAGGGGTACCCCCTTCCTGGGTACACTGGACAGATGGACCCACGCATGCTCTTTCTCTCTCGTCCTGTCCTTCCATCTGGCCTCCTTGGCTCTGGTCCTATCGATTCTCACCCAGAGTGTGGCATCTCCCTGCCTGGCCCCCGCCCGTGTCCAGGCTGTCTCTCAGCTAGGAGCTTTCTGCCCCCATCTTGTCTTCTCTCTCTCTCTCCACAGAGGAGGCAAGAGCTCTTCAGCCCCTCCCGATGCCTCCCCTCCCTCTGCCCTTCGAGGAGGGGAAGGTAAGATTTCCTAGGAGTCTTTAGCTCAGCCCCCCCCCCACCACCACATTTACCCAGATGTGCAGCCCCCTGGAGTCCTCAGGGCACACTCTCCAGCTCTTCCTCCTCTTCCTCATCCTTTGTTCTCAGCCACAGTCCAGGCTAGATAGGACTGGGGTCAGGGAGGGGAGTCTACTGACTTTGGGTCCCCAGCAGACAACCTCTGGGGGTCAACAGTAGCAGGGAAAGGATGGGGGGGTGGGGGAGGGGGGAAGGTGACCACCCTTTCCTGGAAGCCTCTGAGCCCGGCCCCCACTCCCCACCCAGCTCAGGCAACCTCAGCACTCACCCAAGAGCATTCTCAACCTAATAGGGGAATATATAGCTGATATCCTCCCATGATCCCCTTTGGGCCTTTGAGCAACCTCCCCACAGGCTGTTCAGGCAAAAGAGGTGGGACAGGGCAATGGTTAAGGGCTCTGAGTCAGACAAGTGCAGTTCAGGTCTAGCTGGGAACCGTGAAGTTCTCTACCCTGTGGAGGCGTGCAGCAGGCTGCTAATAGTGTCCACCTCATGAGGTTGTTGTGGAGTTTTAAAAAGATCTTGCTGGGTGGTGGTGGTGCACATCTTTAATCCTGGCACTCAGGAGGCAGAGGCAAGTGGATCTCTGTGAGTTCAGGCCAACCTGGTCTATGGAGTAAATTCCAGAACACCCAGGACTACACAGAGAAACCTTGTCTTGAAAAACAAAACAAAACAAAGAACAAAATAGAAAAGAAAAGGAGGAGGAGGAGACAGGATCTCACATAGCCCAGGCTGGCCTTGAACTCTCTACGTATCCAAGGCTGACTCTGAATTTCTGATCCTTCTGCCTCTCCCAAATGCTGGGACTACAGGCATGTGCTACCACACTGGGTTTTATATGCTTCTAGGGATCAAGTCCAGAAGTTCATGCATTCTAGGCAGGCAACAATAGCAACTGAGCTATTGCCCTAGGCCCAGAGAAGCTTCTGGGTCTTTTTTTCTCCAGTTTTCACCCTGGTTTTCCCTGGTCTTTGAAGCAAGGCCACTGCCTTGCTCTTGGACTCCATTTCTTCTCATCACTAAGACTAAAGGGGAGGTCACAGGAGAGCGGTGAGTCATGATGGTGTTGAGTATGGCTGGTGTGGTGTGGTGTGGCGCGCGCGCGCCCATGATGTTCACGTAGAGTTAGACAAGCCCTGTGCATCCCCACACTTGCCCATGCCTCCATATGACTGAGAGCCCTGGCTTAGCTGGGACAGTGTCGCTCAGGAGGGGACAGCTGGGGAGGCTGGGTCAAGCAGGACAGGCCACAGCAGGCCCAGCATCCTGGCAGGGGACACACGTTAGCCCAGCATCCCGGCAGTTCTGCGAGCCCAGAGGCTGTATATCACAGAGGTTTAAGCAGCAGTGTGGCACATAGTTGTCTGCTCTCTTGAGCCATGTCCCCGTCCAGTCTGCCATAAATTGCACTGAGATTTCAAAATATCCCTGTCCCCTTGAGCTCTTCCTGGACAGCTAAGAAAGTCCCATTCCTTTGAGGCCTCCACCTGGCTCTTGACACCTGGGCCACCTCTTCTAACTCTGGCATCTGGGACCTCCTTCCCATCTCCTGCTAGAGCGTGGAGGGAGAGTTAGAGAAGGCAGAAGAGCTGTGAGGCCTGCCACCTAGGGCCGAAAGAGGACTAAGTATTAGTGAGACTCCACGCAGCACTGGGGACCTGAGAGTGTGACCTCCAGTGTGGCTTCTGTGGGGGAGGGCAGTGTTCTGGGTCCCTGGCATAGCTGTAGGGGGTGACTTTGGTGTCTCATGCATTTAGAAGAGTGATGTATCCCTGCTCAGGGTAGCTGCCTCTTAGCTTCCCGATAGCTGCCCACTGGACCACTTGGAAGTGACTGCTGGTACTTCAGCCCAGGGGCACCACCCTGAACCCAGGATGGGAGCTTCAAATTCTCAGGCGTCTGTGGCTGTATGAGGGTCAAACCCACAGTGTGTTAGTTTAATAGAGTACGAGTAAGAGAATAACACAAAATGGACAACAGAGTTGATTATCTCACAGAGCTGGGTTCTCAAGGCTGGTGCCTTTGAGGACCGTGAAGGGGAATCTGTCCCATGTCATTCCCCTAAACTACAGTGGATATCTGGTCATCTTTGGGATCCCTCAGCTTGTAGGTGCATAGCCTGATCTCTGTATCCATCCTCCCATGACGTGCACACAGGGTGGATGTGACAGTGAACAGAGACACTTGTAGTGACCTAACACGTCGAGAGTGACATGTGGCCAGAACTGAGACTGGAGGTGTGAACCATCAGGGGACACCTACTCTAAGCTAGGTCACTCTTCCACCCACAGTCCCCACACGAGCAATGACAGACATGTCTCACATGGACCACTGCCCACAAAAACACCAAACAGTTCACGGAGAACATTCAGGAGATGCGCGCAGGTTCACGGCCATGGACTTGGGTAATCAATCTCCTCTTCAGATGTGGACACCCCCCCACACACACTAGATGTGTGCTCTTGTGAGAACCTTGGGGTATTTCCTAACTGAGCTGATATGCAGTGGCTAAGGACGCAGGAAGTGACCTTGAAGGAGGAGTATTAGCTCTCTCCAGCTGCCACACAGAGCAGTGCAAGACAGGGGCTTAAACAACGGAAATGTGTTGTTCTGGAGCTAAGGACCCATGGTGTCACAGCGTTGGCGGTGGCAGTGGTGGCTTCTCTCCTTACTTATTATTTTCATTAATTAATCATAGACAGGGTCTGGTGTACCCTAGGTTTGTCCTCAAACTCTCTATGTAGCTAAGAATAACCTTGAGCCTCTCATCCCTCCAAGCGCTGGGATCACAGGCATGTACCACCGATGCTTGGTTCCCGTAATGTTGGGGACTGAACCTAGGACTTCCCTCGTGCTAGGCAACTCTATCAACTGAGCTACAGACCAACCTTCTACTCTTTTTTTTTTTTTTTTAAAGACATTTTGCTATGTAGCCCAGGCTGGCTTCCAGCTCCTGATCCCCCGCCTAAGCCTCCACTAAAGCTGGGATAACAGGTGTGTGTTAACACCCAGGCTCAGGGTTGATTTCTTCTGAAATAGCCTTGTTCAAATTTCTTTCTTATTAAGACAGTATTTGAGCAGGGTGTTGGTGAGCTGACCACTCCTTTAATGCCAGCACTTGGGAGGCAGAGGCAGGCGGTTCTCTGTGAGTTCGAGGCCAGCCTGGTCGACAGAGTTCCAGGAGGAACCCTGCCTGGGGAGGAAAAAAGTCTTTTATCCAAATGCAGTCACATTCTGGTATACTTAAGGTTAGGGCTTCAACATGAGTGGGAAAAGTTTGCACAGTTCATCTGTGATTAGAAAGATGGGCTCATCCATGCTTTCCCCAAACCTTGGGGTTGCTCAAGTCTGAGGGGAACAGGCAGTGACTTCAGGAAGTCTCCCAGTGAAGCTGAGGCAGGAAACACACACATGTGCATACACACACATATGTACAGGTGCACACACATATACTTATGCACACACACATTGTAAACATGCACATACACATACCAGGAAGGAAGTGAATATCACAAGTTCTGTCTGAAAGAGGGGATTTGGCAGCCAGCTCCTGAGCAGAAACAGAAGCCGACAAATGAAAGTCCCCAAGAAATGAGGAAGGAAGGGGAGGTTATCTGGGAAATGGGGGTAATTGCCTAAAAGGAGGACTTGAGAGTCCAGGCTGGGGTGTCCAGGCTGGGACACTGTGTGTTCTGATTGTCTCAACCAAATGGCCAACGGTGGCCTCAGCTCAGGTGACCAAGACAGTAGGGACATCTCAGGCCGTGTGGGACAGGGGCTGGGACGTCTCTGCAGGCTGTCACTCTTGGTGAATGTCACCTGGCTAGGTATAGGGCACAAGATGGCTGGGTTTCTGGCCAGAGGACTGTTGGTCTCCAGTAAGTATACTGTACCACATGCCTGGCAGGGGATTGTCAGTTCCTGCCTCGAGGCTGAGAACAGGACAATGACGTCCCCAAACACGACTCTGCTGGTCTCCTGCTGATTCTGAAGTGCTGCTTGTCTCCAAGACCCCATCTTCCTCTCTGAGATTGGCTCTCGGGCCCTGAGATCCTGTGAGCCACCGGCCTCCCAGTGTGCAGCCATGTCTTACAGTCTTCCCAGTACTCCCGTATTTTAATGCTGCTCTGCCTAAAACAGGCCACCCCACCATGTTTCCTCTTGACATTTTGGAACTCAGGTGGGGGTCACCTGGCATACCCACCAGCGTCTTCAAATTGCAAACCTCTCCCGCTCTGTGGGTTCGCAACCATTCAGCCGTCACATGTCTGTCTCCTTCTCTCTATCTGCTCAGGTATGAAGAGGCCACTGAGCCCGTCCCCCTCAGGCGAGAAGGAGCCCCCCACCACTGCAGCACCTGAGTGCCCCCCTCACTCTCCAGAGTCATCGAAGCCTAAGCGGGAAAGGAAACGACCTTCCTACACACTCTGCGATGTCTGCAACATCCAGCTGAACTCCGCTGCCCAGGCCCAGGTGCACTGTGGGGGACGTGCCCACCAGAGGAGGCTTCGGCAGCTCAGCCTGGGCAAGACCTCCACAGGGCCAGGTCAGTGCAGAGTGGCGCTGAACCTAGCACCCTTCCTAAAAACTGGATCTGGGTCCCTTAAGGGGGACTGGGTTTGTGGCTTCCCTGACACTGTCGGGTTTTATTTACCAAGCTGGGGATGTAGCCCAGCGGCATGGTACCTGCCCGGCATGTGCTCTGAATTTAGCACCGCAAAACCAAAGAAAGTTTTGTTTTGCTTCTGGACAGCTTTCTATGGGATCTCTTGGGACAGGAGAGTCTTCAGGGCTCCTCTTGAGGTCCCTTCATTTCTAGGAGCTCTCCCTGAGGGTGGTATGTGTGATTAGGACATTCATAACATTTCCCCAGCCTGGAGCATCCTGGCAGGGACAGTCTTCCAGACAGTGGCCTCTCCCTCAGGGTGTTCCAAGCTCCTGCTCTTCAGGCTGAGGTCAGCACAGTGCACAGCACTCCGACCAAGGAACAACAGGAGCTGCTCTTCCTGTGGCAGCCGGACTCCCGGCCAGGATTTCTGCCTCTCCCTGGCTGGGGTGACTTTGTAGGGTTTAGTTGCCGATGCTGGAGGGGCAGCTGGCTGCAGTGCTGTGTTCTGGGGGAGATGGGTGAATGCTTCTGTGAGGGTGATGCCTGCTGACAGGCACATGGGGGTCACGAGCTGCAGGCTGGCAGGGAAGACAGAGCCACACGCAGGCCTAGGGAGGAGAGGAAGGGGGCATTGGTACCCCAGATCCTGGAGGTGGCTTGGAGAAACCCACCTTGCAGTCCGGCTGGGCGGTTTTGCCAGAGGCTACCCTGAACCTTGAGAGCTCCTAATCATCGGGTGACATTTATACTGTGTCCCCTAAGCATGATAGGAGTTGAGACATTCCCTCGGGGGCACAAAGGCCTTGGAGGGAGAGAGCATGAGCATGACAGGTGAGGAGCATTTCAGGCAGAGGTCACATCCACAGCAAGTGACAGGAAGACTGTGGTAGTGGGAATTAATTCCTCCAAGGAGACACTTAGAGCTGAGCTCTCAAGGCTGTGACTAAGCAATCTGATGGATCAATATTTCTGGAGCATGCAAGACGGGGGTTCAAAGGTCATTCATTTAAGCTGGGTGGGTGGTGCATGCCTGTAATCAGGATGCTGAGGCAGGCTGGCTGGCTGTAAATTCAAGGCCAGCCTGAATTATATAGCAAGATTGCCTTTTTAAAAGTCACACATTTATTTATCAAACATTTATTCATCAAATATATTTATTTATCTATTGAGCTTCAAGCTGCTGTTCAGGGGGCTCACTGTTTTTGTTGTTGTTTGAGACAGGGTTTCTCTGTGTAACCCTGGCCATCCTGAAACTCGCTTTGTAGACCAGGCTGGACTTGAACTCAGAGATCTGCCAGCCTCTGCTTCCTTCATGCTGGGTTTAAAGGCATGCGCCAACACCACCCAGCTTGAGGGTGGGGGACTCACATTTTTAAGGCTTTCAAATCTACCAAAAAAAAAAAAAAAGCTATCTAACTCACTCTATATAAAGATTAATTTATTCTCAGATAGTACTAGGCCTTGTAGAGATGAGTAAAGGGAGCGTCAAGAGAACCCAGGAGAAGGCTGAGCCTGTTGACACAGGTCAGTAATCCCAGTTATTTGGAAGGCAGAGGCAAGAGGATTTCAAGTTCAAGGCTAGCCTGGGCTAGAGAGTGAGTTCAAAGACAGCCTGGGCAACTTAGTGAGATCTGTCTTCATATTAAAAGGAACAAAGGTGGGGGTATAGTTCAGAGGTAGAACACTTGCCTAGCCTGCCTGAGGCTCTGAGTTCAATCCCTGGTACCGGAGGAAAAAAAGAAAAGGGGTAGTGGAAAGATACCAGGAAGGGGACCGAAAGCCTTGCTGGGCAGTGGCCAGTGGGGCCTGGTGCAGGGTATGGGCTGAGCTTGGTTGAGATAAGCTGGTAACCTCTGCAGGGGCTGTCCACCAGGTTAGCCTTTGACCTTTGTTTCAGAGGTGATGGGCTCCACAGCAGCAGTGTGGGCAGGCGTATTTACTGTTTCAGATGTCCCCAGCAAAGGACAAGAGAGAAGCTTAGAGACACACGGTGAAGAAAGAGATCATGTAGGAAAACAGTTTCATGTGGCAGAACCATCAAGGCTCGGTGATTGATGGGCCTTAAGGACCAAGGGAAAGGGGAGAGGCACGGATGACTTCCGGTAGGCAGGCTCTCGGGGAGGGGGAGAGTAGGGCAGTTCAGTTGTTAGAACGGGGTACCCAAGGGAAGAGAGCCAGTGCTGGTGGGGTCGGTTTGGGAGATCACCAAATTAGGAGTCACCGAGAAATGTGATGCCTAGCACTCCACTCCAGACCGTGCATCCGGGATGTGTCAAGAAATCAGAAGTGTTAGGCTGGCCCAATGCAAGATGCTGAGATACCCTCAGAGGGATGCTAGGTGCCTGCCCCTCAGCACTTACAGCTAGGCAGGGGAGGCAGGTATGGAACCAGGCCTTCTCCCATTGGCCATGCTGAGAGGTATGGCCAGCATGGTCGGAGTAGACAGGATGACAGCTGTGCTTAGGGCCAGGATGTGAGGCCTCAGGTTTCTAATAACCATGTTATTCGGAAGCTCTGGTGGGAGAAGCTGCCATCTTCACTGGTCTGGTTAATTCTGGGCCTTCGCCGGGTCGTGGCCTCAGGTACGTCTCCCTGGATAGGGAGATGCTAGCTAGCAGCCGCCCAAGGTGGACATCAGTTGTGGGAAGAAAAGCCATGGCGCTTTGAGTCCTGCTGAAAACTGGTTCCAGCCTGGTGTGGGATCAGGCTGGGGCTGCTGGAGCCCCCCAGGGAAGTGGAGAGATTCCCACCTAGTTCAGGGAAGCTGGAGGTGGGGAACCTTCAACAAGCTGCTTAATTCCTAGGCACTCACTGAGATGCCACACCACACAAGGAGACCCAAGGTCCTTGTCTCGTGTAACCACAGCTGTCACTTTGATTAGGGTCCTTTGGGGCTAGAGGCTTCCCTCGTGACAGGCATTCACAGGCAGTGAAGCCAGGACCCTCTCCTGCTGTCCTTCCTGAGGTGGCCTGTAGGAGGAGCTACAGAGGTGGGCGGGGCCCTTCCCTCCTTGAGCTTCCTCTCTGGCTCAGGTCTGAGGCCTCCTTCCTTAACCGCGACCAGCTGCAGGAACTCTCACAGCCACACCTGGGTTACACTTCCCCATCTCCACCTCTGGATACGCTCCCCCAAGCCTCCATATCCGCTGTCACCTGTCTGCCAGCCGGGAGGTCCCTTCAGTCTGGAGGGATGTGTCTTGGGCTAGCCTTTACTCCCTTACTCTGCTCTCAGGGGACGGGGATGTGGGCACCAGGAACACCGAGGTTGAAGCCAGTGACCTGACCGTACTCACCACACACAGACACCACCCTAAACAACTTACTTGATTCTTCAACATCTGCAGACACGAAGGCGTAGGCACAGCTTCCGTCCTGGCTGCAGTCCAGATGTTGGTACAGCACAGTGAGCTGGGAGACCTGGGTGAGGAGCTGTGGTCTTCCCCTGCCCTACATAGAGCATCGTTACATAGCCAAACTGCTCACAGAGCAGGCAGCCCCATGCCAACCCAGCAGATGAGGGTGTTCAGCTCTCACTCTATACACAGGACTATGTGGGCTCAGAGAAAATAACATACCCAAAGCCAGCTAGCTGGGTTTTCATCCCGGGTGGCTGCCTCTCAATCCGATCTCACACTCCTACCCTGGCTGAAGAGAGCAACCAATACTTGAAGAGAGGTTGAGTTGGTCAGGGTGGCATTTCCCTGTTATCCCAATACTTGGGAGGCAAGGCCAAGAGGGTTACTAAGAGTTTAAGGCCTGGTAGATGGAGAGAGTTTCCGGCTAGCCAGGCAGGGCTATATAGTAAAACCTTGTCGAGAGAGAGAGAGAGAGAGAGAGAGAGAGAGAGAGAGAGAGAGAGAGAGAGAGAGAGAGCCACAGTGTTTGAGAATGGGAAAGGGGCTTGGCCTGAGGAAGTAGGTCCAGCAAGATGATTATACAGATGCTCATGAACCTCCAGCCACATCTCTGTTCTGTGTTTCCTCCACTTAAAGTGGGGAACCAGGCCCAGCATGGTGGTCATACACACCTTTAATCCCAGCACTCAGGAGGCAGAGGCGGGTGGATCTCTCTGTGAGTTCAAGGCCAGCCTGGTCTATGCAGGGAGTTCTAGGACAGCCAGGGCTACATAGTGAGACCTTGTCTCAAAATAAACAAATAAAAGAAAGAAAAAAAGAAGGAAGGAAGGAAGGAAGGAAGGAAGGAAGGAAGGAAGGAAGGAAGGAAGGAAGGAAGGGGGACCACCAGCCATCTCCTGCCTCTCTAGATGACTAAGGAAGGATAGCTTCCTAAAGCCGGCCACTTCCTCTCTGACTCTGGGTAGACAAGCACTGTCTAATTGAGAATGAGGCCAGGCCCTTTCCTCACCATCCATCCTGTGCATTGTAACAGAAACCTGAAGGAACAGGAAGGGACTTCGGAAATGCCTTAAGCTCTGACTTACTGAAGCGGCTAGAGGGACCCTGGAGGGAGAATGTAAGATAGACATGGGGAGGGACCGGAGAACAGGAGATGGGTCAGATGAAGTCAAAGGTGACCCCATAGTTGTGGCAAGCAGAGTGGAGTCTTCCACACTCCCCACCCGACCCTACACCCCAGCCCTTCTCTCCTCTCCAACTTTGAGTTTTGAAGCTTCTGGCTGTACCCTGAGCCCTGGGAACCAAAGGTGTGGGTCATGCCTGAGTCACCAGCTTGATGAGCGCTCCTCACCCACTGTTCCCCACAGATGGATTAATTTCAGTCCCACCAGGAGGCTCCGGAAGCAGCCCCCCACCTCCCCCCTTCCCTCCCATCTCTCTGGGTTGCTGATTCCTCTTCACTGAAGTACCCCCTCAGCCCCCCCCAGCACCCCCCCCTCCGCCGCCGCCGCCGCCGCCGCCGCCCATCTCCAGCCCCATCATCCTGAGGCCTTCAGGTGCAAGCTTCAAAGAAATAGTATT